TTCCGTATCACACGATAACTCGATTAACCGCGATAACAGAATATTTATTATCCTCTGAGATTTCATTTTGATATTCAGTGGTTCCCTCTGTTGCCGCTACTGCGCCCTCGTGCAACGATGCGTTTCTCCAACCGGAAGTTGGAACGTCGAGGAGTACACGCTTAAATTCGTGGCGAGATACCGCGGTGGATTGAAATATTGACCCGTTCCTGGTAATACATTTCCATGAAATTTCTCTTTCTCGTTCCCTTAACACCTCAAAATGTTATTCCAACGTAATTTCAAAACCTGCATTCTCATTATTATTCCATCATTTTCACTCTATAAAGGATTCGCATTTCATATCACTTTTCAGAGAGAAAATTTTCATCAAAAAAAGCTTTTCTAATATCTTATCCTCTTATATTTTTAATATCGCTCGAAATACTTTCTTGCGAAAATCTAATCAGCAAAGACGATTAGATAAAACGATTCTCACTCGGCTCGATCATATGCTTGACCAACCAGGTATCTTTGACCAACATCGTTGGCCCAATTAACGAGCGACCACTCGCCTCATTTGGGATGATAAAACTGCGTGAAACGGCGGCTGGCGATTCGACATTCCGTGTCGCGATGCTTCTTCGCAGATGCATTAACCCGCACACCACGTTTTCGAAACGATATTATATTTATTTATCACGGTCACTCTTTTATCGAAATTAAAAGCGAATCGAGACGGATGAGTAGGATCGATCGAGATATTACGCGCGCATCGAATTACGAGAGGGATTATCGTCGTGCTGGGGGAAGGGAGGGGAGGGAGATCATCGCGTTGCCCACGATAATTATTTCTGCGTTGGCCATAATTATTGCCGGGGTGGCAATTAATTCCTGGCCGAGCGGCAATTAATTTATTGCGGGTTGATTAATTGCCGCATGCTAACCGTTGAGAGACAGTTCGTTACTGTGTGCTTCTGCTGTGGATCGCCCTTTTGGCTGCGATACAAGATCGACCGCCACCGTGACCCTTTGCCTCGGCAGAATTCCTCGGGACATCCGGAGATGGTTTTCCTTTCCTTGTCGTTGGCCGATGTTAAAGTTGGGTCAAGGAGATAGGGATAATTTGTGTTTCCACGTGGAATATTCATTGCTCTGAAATTTTGATTTTAATCTACGTATCGTTATCTACCTCTTCTTTCGACTTCAGGATGAGTCTTCTAATGTGTCGATTTTAAATTACCGATTAGTAGTAGACTTGCAACTTGTAAGGAATATTTCCAAGAAAAATTGTACGCACAATAGTCTGAAGAATTTTTAATTTCACACTGTTCGTTTTTATGTGTAGATATATGAGTCAATTTTTTCCTAATAATAATAATAATCTAATTCTTTACATTGGTTGCTGTTGACAGGAAGCTATTCATTTGGAAAATACCTCAATGAAGTGATTTAAAGTTTATCATATTGGAACACATTGCGTATACTTGAACCTCAATTAATCAGATGACATTCGCTGGTGGATTAAAACAGACCACCCATAAAACTCGTAGATATTCCAGAGTTCCTCCTTCCCATCAGAGGGACCATTTTATTAATTGTCACGATCCTAGAGCCATTCGAAACGTTTTTTCCTGTCGAACAAAAATGCAGGCATCGATAATGCGCGACCCTCGAAGAGGCAAACGAACTATCGTATTTTTCTTCCGTTATCGTGGGAGGATCGAGCGATAAATGACGGTCCCCGGCCCATTTTGCGGATGAGATATTGCGTAGATTTTCACTTTTCACCGTGGACCGGCCATTTGCGGCGATCTTTGAGCGCGCTCGAAGAACCAACGCATTTTCGATGAAGGATATGCTGTTTGGAAAACACGATTCGTTCCGTGCCGTGGCCATTGTGGCCTCTGGACACGTCGAATTTTTCAAAATCGACCAGGTAGAAGTTCCCCTTTCGTCACGCTGGTTTTTCACTCCATCGCTGGTGAAATAGTTCGTGGAAACGCAGTCGAATAAAATCGATATCCATATTTTCCTTCGATCTTTTGCGATGAGTTATACGATTCGTATCATGACAAAAAAAAAAAAATATTCTCTCGAATTTCTCTTCGAATCTTTTGTATAAATAGCTCATAATATTTGTAAATAAAAAGTTTTATTAGTTTGATCTTCTACCCGAATCGTTGATGACAAAAAGTAAATCTTTCTTTGTTTCTTTCTTCTTTATGAAATTTTCATTTTTATCGAAAACAATTTCAAATATTCTTCTGAAATTTTGAATAAGCGATTTTCGTCCAGGAGAGATTAAAAGGATTCTCTTTCTACTGTTTATTGGAAACCTTGATACATTCGAGTTTAATTATAAATATTATGGATCATACATTGCTATATTTACAATTCGATCGAGCAGGTGGATCCTATTTGTTAATTGTCCATCAGAAATGGGAGGGGAGAGTATATCCAAAAATAAGAACGTACGAAAATGTTTTCGTAACGACCAGGAGGGGAAATTAATATTTCGCGGATTGACGAAAGATAGTTTTCGAAATAAATTATCAAGACGAGAGCTGAACTACTGAGTTTCTTTGGCTCTCCCGATCCACGGCGCGAAATATTATTTAATCCTCACTGGCCGTTCACGCTCGTGGCAATTCCATGATGTTCCTGCCTCTCGAGAATTTAAAACAGTTAAAAAAAAAAAAATGATATATAGTAGTATGAAAAAAAAAAAAAAAAAAAAATAAGGGAATATCCAGACACACTTGGACGCTGTGTATATATCATTATGCATATAAGTATAAACCTAAATATTGTAGCTGTTTATTGCATAGCGATGCTTGTATTATACTATATAGTGCATTATTCGCGAACATTCAGAAACTTCGGTTTATTCAGTTTTTATTATTATTATTATTCAGTCTCGAATGTACAACTGGATTAACTATCTTTATTTGATATAGGCATTATCAAAGAGAGCGAGACGGTGATTTAAAATTTAAGAAAATAATTGTACAAATTATGTTGATTTGCGGATGGAATATAATCAGTTATTTATTCAGCTGTAAATCGAGACCTTGATCATTTGTGCGTTCCTGAATATGGCGAGTAATGCGATTAGACATACTTAAAGTATTGAGAAGAATCTCATCAATGGCATTGGAAACGCCTGTATATCTAATTATTCGGTTTCATTAACGTACGCATGATCGAGAAAAAGCGTTTTTAAACCTTATTTATTAATATTTAAGTCAAATTTTTTCCCAATTGCGCATTCAATATAAAACGTGACAAATTCTTGCCTTCTAAATTCATCTTTGATCATTATTATCGACTGACGATAATTCAATTGTACGATAAACGAAATTATAAAGAAAAAAAAAAAAAAAGAAACTAACATTTAGAGAATAAAAATTCAATCATTGACGATCAACAACATTTCGTTTCATCGACGGCTAATTAAAATTGTATAAAAAGAAAGAAAAAGGAAAAAAATAGAGATACCTAATTATATTTATCACAATATATCTCAATTTTCCTAATTTAATTTCATACGTTTAAACACAGACGAGCAATAAAATAAATGTGATATATATAAAGATTTATTGTATCATAGAAATTTAATAGTTACCTAACCACTTTACCATTTTCGTATCACATGCGATATTATCGATGTGTACACATCGATTCGGTACACGAAAACGTTGTAGAGATGAGAATTAAAACTTTACATTAACATTCATTGATATTAATTCACATTAATTAAAAATAATTGATATTAATTACAAGACAAGTAGTATACATCAATCGTACGAATGCGTACGATAAATAGTATATAAAAGAAAATAAATATTTATAATATAAACAAATAGTTATATTCTCAAATTCTCTATTAAAAAATTAAGAAAATTATCAAAAAATGTTTGAATGTTAAATATTGCAGAAAATAATTCTCAATATTCGAATGAAAAGTATTCTTAGAATTAAAAAAATTGATGAAAAACTGAATTAAAATCGTAAAAAATGATTACTGCAAAGGATAAATATACAAAAAGTAAATAATTCATAGCTAACTATACAAAATATCATAAAAATATTTGATGTAAAAATTCTCGATCGAATCTCCTATCATATTATGCTCTCCTAATACAAAATCGAATTTTTAGCCAAAATTTTCCCTCCCCTTCCATGATTTAGATAATTCCTGGAATTTGATGTCATTTCTAAGAAGCCTGGAAAAATTTCTCGATCGACCTCCTATCATATTATGTTCTCCTAATACAAAATCGAATTTTTGGCCAAATTTTTCCCTCCCCTTTCACGATTTAGATAATTCCTGGAATTTGACGTCATTTCTAAGAAGTCTGGAAAAATTTCTCGATCGACCTCCTATCATATTATGTTCTCCTAATACAAAATCGAATTTTTGGCCAAATTTTTCTCTCCTCTTCCACGATTTGAGTTGTTATTTCTGGAATTTGACGTCATTTTTATATATATATATATTAAAAAGTATATAATTCTATTTCTAGAAAAAAACATTAATATATAGCATTTATGTTTCTTTCAAGAGGAAATATAATTACATCATATGTTCTTATTGACATTTAACTTCTATTTGATTTTTTAATACTTTTCGAAATATATTTTAAATAATAAAGTTATGCAAGATACTCGATATTTTTTACACAATATATCAATCATATGATGTACGTAATATTTCGTATATATATTTTTGATCACACTGAAAAACGTTTTAGATAAAAATTGAATGTTTAAAATAGGATATAATTTACTGTTATTAATTCTTTTGTATGTTGATACGTAAATACAAAGATCAATTTTATTTTTTTAAATGAATATATATATTTTTTAATTCAATTTCTATTTTTTCATTACATTCTCTATAAAAAAAATACATATAGACCATAAAAGTCAAAAAATGATTAGTTTAAGAGATAATTGAATATCTCCTAAACTAATGAATTTTTGTTATAAATGGTTTAGTATTTTTTTATAGAGAATATAAAGAATCTTCTATTGTATCAAAAAATATATAGTTTTTCGTTACAAAGAAAAATAGAGTGACGTAAATCAAAAATGGTAATATCGTGTGTGATACCTTTTTTCTCGAGATCGGTATTTGAAAACATGGAAAAATCCAAAAATATCACATCTATACTTCGTCTGTGGCAAATATCCTTAACTTTAGATACACAATTTTTAAATACATTACGATTTGTGGATTTGGTCTTGGTTTTTAACAACCGTCGATCGAAAGTATTGAGCTTATTCCCATTTTTACCGATTGCGGTATTCTTCCTCGCATTATTACCAACAGGGGATATTCCTTCGGCAATTTCCTCAAACATTTATACCGACGGAAACGCAACGAAGAAGAAGAGAAAAAGAATAAAATATGCAAAGTGATCGCGTTCAGTTAATTCTACCTTTGTGGGTCATGTAACTTATGCTGTCGGATAAAAGTTTTTCCCTAGCTTGTCGTCGAATTCGCGAACACATTGCTAATATCGTTCCTGCCATTAGACAGAGGAAGCCACAACCGATTCCTATAATCGTACTAAGAACCGTAGATCTAAGGCACACTCTATCGTTCGTGGGTTCATTGGTTCCTATAATACAGAAATTAATTGATATAAAAATAATATAAAAATTAATAAAAAATAAATGATCTGTTAGATATTTTAAAAATAGAAATTAATTCAATTGAAGTTACCACTTCGAAAAGCCGTAGTAGAATTCTGGAAGAATTCTGTATCTGCCTCGCCCTCTTGAAGTACACGTAACGATTGGAAGAGATTCACATTCTCTGACAGACTCGTCGCTGGTGTCGATGGACCACCAATTTCTGGCAAAGAACGTTTCGCTACGTTTTTGGCATTTCTCCAGTGACACGGTTGGCTCTGCGCGATTATAAATAATTTCATAGCAACAGATTGTTCAAAGAGTACAATTTTTGATAAAAATGACCCTCGACTTATCTTCCTGTTATACTTACCGGGCATCTTCCGTGGCACATTCTTACGTCACATTCAATATACAATGCTGGCGAACCGGTGAACCTGAACGTTTTCATATAGGCGAATACCTGAGTTTCGAAAAGGCCGCTCTCGGACCAGGATCCACGGAATCTGCTGATCAATTTATCGTCGACAGGACATCCGTATTGATCGATCAACTGGATCCTTTTATTTCCGCCGTTGTGAGCGTAGCAATCGTTTACGACAATGTCGAAACCATCTGCGAACACAGAGGCAGAAACTGTATACAGCGGAAGCCCGTTTATCTCAAGTTCATTCGGTGGAAGAAAATTTTATATAGTGCTCGTTTAATTGAATTACCGTCCATTCAAAATACTCATCTAACCACGAACTTTTGTCATCTGAACGAGAAATTATCGATAAATTATTATACGAATTTTATTTACGACTGATATCATCCGATATGAACAATATGAGCGTCACACGAATTATTATCATCTATCGTAATAATTCATTCCTCAATTGTATAGATAAATATCTATACAAATACATCTCCCTTCCGTTCTAATCAACTGACATTCCATCGATCCATTCCCAAAATATAGAAAAGAAAATCTTTCCGGATCCGGTGGAACATGGAACACAGTAGCCTTCTTCGTCAATTGGCAATTAACCCTTTGCGGACGAGCATTCTCTCATTCTCTGACTCTCCCAATAGGTCAAGGATATCTTCCAACGAACGAGATGCCAAATTAAATATACCTTAAATATCAGGTACAAAGGAAAATATGTATTTTATTAACGATCCTGTTGTAAAATAACGTATAACGTATAAGTTCGTGATTATATGCTGAATTTTATTTCGCTTAATCGCAAGTTGGATCCGCAAAGGGTTAAGTATCGATCTCCGGAGAAAAAGTTGTACGCGACTAATTTTAGATCCTCGAAGGGAAAACACATCCGTGTGGCATAACCAGAGCTGTTCGCGTCCCGTTATCCCGAGGAGGTAACACCCGACAGATGTTACGTAGCGCCACGCGATTAAGCAAGCCTCCGGCCTTACGGAGCGGTGCAAAGCGAAAATGCGTGCCGCTATGTATACCGTATTTGCTGCGCATGTAGATAATGAGAGTCAGTGGATCCCCGACGCGGACTGGTCCAGCCACTCTAGTTCCAGTGGTCCCGTAACCGTATCTGATTTCCATGTAGCACTCTGGTGGCTGCAGGGTGAACACTACGGGATTCCCCGTCGCGACTCTGGAAGAAGATATCCGCGTTAGAGGTTTCTGGTCTCTTTGCATCCCGGCTTCCCGTTAACCGACACTGGGACAAGAGCGAAAGAAATATACATCGACTAATAAGCGATAATTTTCTTCAAGATGAGAGATTGATCGTAAAGATTTTCAACCGCTTACTCGACGTCGAGGAAGGGGAAGGTGACGGTCTTCCAGAAGTCGTATCCGTATTCGCAAGTCACTTTGAAATGCTCGTCGAATTCTTCTTCGATGAGCGGGTTGTACTGCACCGTGACCGTGTTCCACATCAGGTTTTTCTGCCATGAAAACAGATCAAAATGAGAAATGGAACGTTTGGATCGATAGAGATAATATGCAGAAAAATGTTCGACGAAAAGTGAAAAAAAGTGAAATATCTTTTGCGGATAAAAAATTGAAAGTTTTTGTAAAAAACTGAAAAATGTATTCCTTTTGTCGGAATAAAGAAACGAAGTAGACAATTTTTACGAAAATATACATGTTCGAAATTAATTAAATTGGTTAATATTATATATATGTATTACACTGTATCTATTATTGTATCGATAATATTTGTATAAATGAATTTTTTTTAGATAATAAAATTATTTATCTTTAAAAATAATCTTGTATTCTTATTTATAATTATATATTTATAATTAATTCAAATGCGATAAATGTATTTACGTTTAACGAGTATAGTTAATTATTATTTCCATCACGCAAACAAACGCGCACAAACTACACCCAGAACGAAATTTCATCGTTAAAAGCTCAATTTACTATTTCTTTCCAAGTCTGATCGCAGCTAGGGAAGCAAATAGATACAGTTTAGTGCACCCGATATAAATCACGGCGCGCGTGTTTAATAAATCACAGCAGAGCGTAACAGAATTATTAACGTCGGCGCGGATTTGCGATTCATAATTGCTAAACCTCTCTAACATGGCACGAGTTGGGCGTATATTAATACGTCGAGTTGGTTGACTGTGGAGATAAAACGCGAAACAAAAATCGTATCGATTCTTTTCTTTTTTTTTTTTTTTCCTTTCTTTCTTTCTTTCTTTTCTTTTTCTCGTGTGTTAATCATTATTATTCCTTGTCAAGTGGTCACGCTGCGATGGTAACGAACCACGTCGTGCGCCAAGTTGCACGCCTGGTTTACTTACAGTAGGATTTTTTCGACTGTCCTGATGATGGGTGTTCTCGCCAAGGGTGCCGCAACGATTCAACTGAATGTAGAACTCGTAGTAGTCTCGACCTGTTCCGTTCACGTACATGCAGTCCGGGTCGTAAGAGTAACCTTTAATTGAAATTATTATTGATAACAGATTATCATACGAGCAACGACTTTCGTGTTTTCCAATTTTTTGAACGGACTTGTTCGAAGAATATATTTATGCTCGTATAATAAGACATCTCGTGATCTTTGAAAATAATTGGCGCTATCGGTAATCGATATCATCGATATTTACAAACGAATAAGGAAATATTCTTATTTTTTTCATATTTCTCTTCTTTCCTAATTGAGAAACTCTAACAACAACATCAATCGAATCTCTAAAACAATGATAATATCTCTTCCAAATTCATAAAAGCGAGTAGGAATAATTTATAAGCAGGACGATGATCAAGAAGGACGTGCTATTTGCATCGCGTGTATCGTGCAAAGAGCGGACAATGCGTTGTACCCCTTTCAAAATAACGGAAGTGGACGATTCGACCACATGCGTTGGTCTCGCCTTGGAAAAAGGAAAATTCTCTCTCTTCTTCTCCCCTCTCTACGTGCTCTACGTCTCTCGCTGTGGCGAGCCTTCCGAGGAGATCGTTTCACGATAACGCTGTTCCATTAGCTCGTCAGCATCGCGGCAGTTTCGAGCGTTGTGTCCGCGGAGATGATGATTGCGAACAGCGTGTGAGCTCGTACAGAGAGGACGTGATAGCACGTCCTTTGATGCGGATGCTCGCCGGCACGTTCGCGATTCCCGCTTCTCATGTTGAGAATTTCTTAACTTACCAGCCGAGTAGAGGAGACCGGTGAAGGAACCGTTGAAACCGATCCTGATCTTCATGTAATCGTCCTGGCATTCCGCCTCGATATCTGCAAAATTTTTTTTTTTTTTTTTTTGGTTACATTTACGAGACCTTAATTACGTTACCTGATTTTTGAAACATGTTGTACATGATCTATTATGATTGAATAATCTCTATTCTGTATTATTTTAAAATTTATATCAAAAGCTTTCCACAATTTATGGTTTAATATCTTTGTAATAATAGAGATTATTTTCCCGCTATTGATAATAATTTGAATAATTTTGCTAAAAATCTACTTGTTCGCTACTTGTAAAATCTCGAAACCTATAAATCTTCTCCTAAATTAAAAAGTGCCAAAATATTCCCTTTTCCTTTCACCCAACTTTCCCACCGACACGATCGATTTTCACGAGGCAAACGACTGGTCATCGACCCGTCCACGTTTCGTTTCGCGATCGTAAACGACAGATAAATCGGCCCTAACGAGGCAACGAAGCAAGAAAGCGGCCGCAGTGCCGAAACATCGCGCGGCCTCGTGTCGAAACGGTCGGAAAATCGGGGGATCCATCCGGTGGGCGGAAAGCAGCGGAAAACCGGTCGCCGATGACGAGTGAAAGTAAACCGGCCGGCCAGCCAGCCCCCTCCCCTCCTCCTCCCCCTTTTATAGGCGCTGTTCGTGGTAAGGAGCCGTTTCCATCGTAAAACGACGTAATCCACCACGTGAGCGGTGGAAGATGGACGGCGTTAGATGGAGGCTGCAGATAGTCACACTCGAGGTGATTCTCGATGATACAACGTTTCGCCGGGAGAAACGCTCTTCTCCCCCTTCCTTTCCTTCTTCCCTCCCCCCCGGATGGAAAAAGCCGCGTAGTTGGCTGGGCACACGCGTGCTACGCGTTTTCGACCGGCATGCACGCACGCTTATTACAATTGCGGATACGTACTTCGTGCTCGTCGGCCGGCAAAACGTACGAGAGCAAACAATGGAGTTGCGGTTGCGCAACTTTTGATAGTCGCCCGAATACACGCGGTCGAGCAGACGAGAGGGGGGGGAACATTCTTCACTCGCGATTTCGTCCGTGAATCCGCGCGTTTAACCACCTCGCGTTTATGGGGAAGGAGAAGTTTAAAAAAGTTTTTAGCTTCGATTGTAAAATCGAACGGACAATCGGGACGCGATTTTATTGTTCGAGAGGAGTTAAAAGGATGCTTAAAGATAAATAAAAAATGCGATTTCCACGTTTATTGCCTTCGATTCTATTAATTTTACGCAATATAGGGAGGAAATAAGGAAAGTAATTTTGTATTATGGTTACGTAAATGTGTCTTTATATTGTGCATAATCGTCTTTCTATGAATAAATTATTGCGAAGCAATATTCACCGTGAAAGACAATATGTATGATATATTAATGAATCGAATTCTAATTGAATTGAAATTTATCTACATCCATTGTTTTCAGAGATTTATGAGGATTATATGACAATCTTTTCTGTAAATATATATATGTTATATAGATATAAATTTGCACGTAAAATATATCGAATAGGATAGGAATAGGTCGAGTCTTTTGATTCGCGAAACTGACGAGGGACGAGGTGAGTGACAGGTAATTTGAAAAGTTTGAAAGGGATAGCCAACATCTCGTCCGCATCGATGTTGGATCTTTGATGCTCTTCGTAGGATTTAATTACGATCCCTCGTTCCAAAGATCTCGTTTTAAACAGCCCTATTTCACTTTGATTACAACCTAGCTAGAGAACAAAATAAGCAGAGTATCTACCTCCTTCAGGAAGTGGAACGTACGAAACGTAGATTCTAAACCTCTGCCTTTCATTTAAATCTCGTTACCTTGAATTCTTGAATCGCAGTGTAAAAAGACCAACATCCTGACGGCTCTTAAACACTCTCTAATTATGAAAATACCAGGTGTATATCTAACTTGATCATCGTTCTTCCTCTAACAATAATTTAGTTAGTTCTTCCTAAAAAGATCGTTTGCTCGCATGCCCTTGTTTTAATGCGATTATGAATATATAGATTAATTTCCATTAGATGCAGAAGAGAACGATGCAGATTAAGTTTTTCTCATTCCTAAATGCCGAGCTGGAGGACTAGAGCAATTTCTAACGATGATATTTACCTCAACATGCAACAAAGTTTAACTTAGATCATTTGCATACCACGATACTACTTCAACACCATTTTAAAGCAATAAAACCAATATTTGCTTCTTGCAAAAATTTGCAATCAATATGAAATATAGACAATAAAAATTGCAACTTTCAGACTTTACACTAAGATACGTAATCGAAATACGTAGAAAAATCTATTTCAAAAGAATTCCTCTTGTATTACACTACCCACCACTCGTTTTCGATAAATCACTCGTACAAAAGATGCCAATAATAAAATAAAAGGTAACGGATCACGGTCGTAAAGGATAGCTCACGGACAATGATGAAGAGACAAACTCTCGAGGTACGTAGAAACGCTGGTGCACAGGAGGATGGATTAAAGCTAATGGGCTTTCTTTCGCGTAATCGACGATGCCGCGGGTGGCCGCCACGTTTCCCGCAGAGAGGCCCTTTACGTCTTCATCGGGACCAAGAAGAAACGCTCTCCAACTCGCTCGGCGATCTCTTAGACGTCTATTTCGGGAACGTCTGTTCCACGACGATTCGTATCAATTTACCTCTCGATCAAGCCGCCCTTGACCCTCGACCAATTACTCTCTCTCGAGAGAGATCCCTCGTGTATCTCAAAGATTACGATCTTCTAGGAGGAGGCAACGCCCTCGCGGGTTTATTTATTGGGGGAAAACTCGCAATTTCGCGAATTACGGCCTCCACGGGTCACCACGTCCTCGGGATAAGATCGAGGAGAGGAGTGTATCTCGGACAGAGATACGGGAGGATAATAGAGAAGTGAAGGGAAAGGAGAGACGCGTCGAGCGCGTTGATTTCTCAGGCGTCGGGTGTGCCGTACGACTTGCCGACACCGTTTTAATTGCGTCCACTCTAACGGTAGCCGCTCGTGTTCCGAATGCCAGACCAGCGTCGAGGACGGCCACGAGGATCGTACGATGGATCGATCGATCAAATCGCTTCGTGGACGGGCACTTGGATCCGTGGAGAAATGGCGGCAATAACGGAGACGTGGTAACGGTTCTCGAGGGTGAAAGCGTTTGGCTTCTTATTGGAGAATTATTGGGCTCGAGGATTTAGAAATGATAGGATGAAAGTGACCAAGGTCGGGTATGATGAATGTATAGGTTAGGAGTATTTTGGAAGAAGTATTTGGGAAAAGTTTCGATCCTGTTCATTGAACGATTAAATTATTATACGAGGATCTTGGTGTTTGAAATATCTGTATACGTTTGTGCAAAACCTTACTTTATTCCCCCCTTTTTCGTTGTTATTTTATATTGGTTGAATTGTAAATTGTTCGTAAAAGATTTCATAATATTTCTGAATCGCTTACGTTGAACACGAGTGGTATTAGGCCTGTATCTCCTGTGCTCCCGATCCCAAGATTCCGGATGCCTCTTCCAGTCCTCGTCCCCGACTACCCCTGTGCCTCCACCTCCTGGTATTCCTTGCAAACCCTGGAGAGTTTGAAGAGCTTGAAGATTCGGGCTCAACGGTCTTCCTTTCAATGACGGTACTGGTACATACGCTGCTCCATCTCCAACGTATACCACCTGTGTAGATTAATCAAATTATATGAATTCGATTACTTTCGATGAATGAATATAAAATGAAATGAAAGCGAAGAACGTTCCATTCGACAACTAGTTTCTTCTATGAGATATATTTTAATATAATTTTCCTTTTCTTGATATATACATCTTTGATATCACACTTTTTGTTTCCCAAAATCTCAAGTGTATTCTTCCTTCATTTATGCGAATCAAATAATTTCGTCTTCGAAATAAAAGAAAGAAAAAAATCAATGCCGATATATTATACAATGAGCATAGATTCGCAAATATATCCTCGACAGAGGTTTATCTTTCCAACGATGCAACCGCAATTTCCGGCGCGGAAACGAGCGATCTCAGAGGAAAAGCGAAAACGACGAGGCGAAAAGAAAAAGAAGAGCGCGTGACCAACGGTTCACGAGTTCGTCTCGAAATATTCTCGATGCATTCGAGATAATACTCGGTTTCGATCTCTTTGTCGCGCAACTTTGTTCCACGCCATCACGAGGAAGCTTCCTTCTTTGCTCGATTTTCTCTAGTGCGCGTATTTTACGAGTGTACAAATAAAGATTTTGAGGGAAAAGTGTTGCCCATGGCTCACAGAAAAATAGTTGCGGCTCGTAGTTATGGTGTTAATACCAGCCACCTCGAAGGTTTTAAAGAATCGTGAAAGCCAAGTCTATCTGTGACTTTGCATCGGTTCTGTTTCTGGTCTTAGAGTCCTCATTTTACGAGGTTGTTTCGTCTTACAGGCATAGCATGCAGAGTTTACTGGAAGGAATGGAGAATAAGAAGAGGAGAACGACATGCAACGTGGACGAAAAAGAGCAGAATTCTTGTGGAATGAATCGACTTACGGGATTTCTAGTATAAGTTACAGTTATAGATTTTATTATTTAGAAGGATTATATTACACGATTCCTTAAAAACAATTACTTTTTAACATCTATTCGTTCGAAGAAAAAAAAAGTTAAAAAATTCTTTCTCAAGCTGCTCATTTGTAATAGATAATCTTTCCGATCGAATAAGCAATTTAATAATTTTCTCCACGCTTGAAATTTAATGATTACAATATCTTTCTTATTTCTCGATATTATTCATTCGATTCTATTGATAAATCGAAAAAAAAAAAAGAAATCACAATCAAAATGAAATTCAAACTTCCATCTCGACATTTTCTCACAGTGGTCCAACAATGGACAGGTATCGTCGATTATCCGTAATCTGTATCGAGTAAGACAAGCCACGTGGTTAGTGGTAAACGCGGACCAACAGCAAAAAGCCAGTGAAGATCCTCCATATGCTGGTACCAGTGGAAACAATCGTGTCGTTACACGCTCCTCTTCGCCGATCTCTCGCCTCTTTTTTTGCCTCATTCCTCCGCCTCTTTCTCTTTTACCAGCTCTTACCACCAGCCTCTGAATTCTTTCTCGGATTCCTCCTCGTGTATTCTCCATCCGAATCAACTTATCCGCGTGAACAACCGACACGCAACATTCTCGTTCCGCTTCCATCTTCCCTTCCTTCCTCTATTTGTTCTCGAGTTGGACGAGGAAAATTATTGCTTTTCACGGATTCTATTTTTCTACCATTTCTGGAACTCGAGTGGCGTTTATGGACCGCCAGAATGGTTACTAGAGTCGTTCCTCTCGAGCTATCTTCTGTCTCTTCGTTTTATGGGAAGAGAGGATCTTTAGAAGTCTTCAGGAATGCTTATGCGAGATTGAACGTTGGATACGTTGGAAAGAGGATTGAGACGGAACGGTTTGCTTCCGCGAAAGTGGATAATTTTTTTTTAGAAATATCCCAAATCTTAATGGAAAGTCTGTTGCCTTGTAGAAAGTTTTCAGATTTGAAATTTAATCATTTTTCATACTTGATAATCCAGAATAATTTCTTTCTTTAAAATCTTCCGATTTCTAATTTTTCAACTTCAAAACGTGAAAACAGACACTGTATGGAATGGATCAAAATGAAACGTTCAAAATAAAAAAAAACGTTTCTAAAAATGAGAATTTCACGCGAACTATTCTCAGGAGATGCATTTTCTACGGCCTTTGTGTGATTCTGAGTCCACTACGTGTCACTGCAAATACGATGTGACATTCGTGGATAGCATACTTCTTTTAACACGAGATCTTCCTTGCGGCCAGTTGTCGATGGTCTATCGAGTCTCATCATGCGCTCATGCGATGATTAACGGTCGCGCGGTTAGGGCGTCCAAAGTCATTAGTCGAGTTATGATCGGTCAGATGAGAGCTAGGTGAATGCACCTATCGTATCTCCAAGCTTGTCCCTGACCTACACCTGTTCATCAACCGAGCCTGATTATCCCTATCATTTGGTATTTCTTATGAATTCCGCGTGATCCACGTAATTCCAGGTTGTTAGCGATTGGAATTCCCTTGTGGTGCGTACGAGATTGCACAAAGTATGTTTTATAGTCCCTTCTTTTACGATTTGTTTCATTGTTGCGTCGATATTCAGATCACCGAGTGTTTTCAGATTGGAAGAGTTTGATTGATTATCAAGGTTGGGAAAAAACTGTTCGAGTTTGTTGATTCGTAGGATAATGATACGTATAATGATACATGAAAAATAAGAATCGATTTATAGATTCGAAAGGCTGAAAATTATCACGTGCAATTTATCTCGTGAAATTCGTATTTGGAAAAAGAATAACTTTCTTCGTATATTTTTATATTCTACCGTTTCAATATATCGAATTGGCTTTTATTTGCAACTACATACATTGAAATGACTTATAGTTAATTTAAAATTTAAAATAATGTGAAAATTATAATGTAGTTTCATTATTTATCGATATTTTTTTCTCGGCTCTCCTTTTTTAGTGTACACATATCAATCTTAGAAAATAATCTATGATATTTTTATAATTTGATATTCAATAATAATTGTATAACCATTGCTACTATTTTTCAATTATATATCGAGAATGATCTTGAAATTTTCTTATACGAACGCTATTACCATTCTACGAAAAAAGAAGCAGAAATAATGGGACATTGCTCATCACAAAAAAAAAATCTCGATCGATCTACAGGGTAGATTTTGCTACATCGTCATGCACAAAGAAATTGACGTTTCCTCGAATCTGGTTCGACTTCACGAAAATACTTACAGCTTCGTGGTCGCTGGCCTCGTGCGTTAACGCTTCCCTGGTTTCGTTGTGAAGCATGTCGTCCTCCTCGGGATTTGATCCACTTCCGGCCCAATAATCCTCGGTTGTCTCGTCCAATACGGAGTCCTCCGCGTTTCCATCTCCGTTGTCTCCGTTGTCATGGCTCGCCGCCTTTAAAATTCACGTTTACTCTTACCTTCTACGAAAAAAGTTTCAATTTTGATTGCCTCTGTTAGATTCTACCTGACATGGAAGCGTTGCTGCTGTCAGAAGCCAGACGATCGCGTATCTGAAACGAGAAAATCATCTTTGTATTATTTTAATTATTCCCAAATTTCTTAATACTGTTTATAAAATAATTATTTTGAAGTATAAAAATCTAATACGTTACACCACTTTTTCTAATATTAATCCAACAAATATATATACAAATGAAATTTTATTAACGATAAGATAAACATATTAAATTGAATATTTCACTTTTAAAATATAAAATCATAATTGATTAAGATATATACAAATATGTACAAAGAATTCAAATCAAGTTATCCATCCAACAAGACATCCAAAAAAAAAAAAAAAAAATCCAAAATCGATTCGAATATCAAAAAATCTTGCAATTGCTACAATTCCAAAGTAATAAATTCATCCATACATCGATTTCTATTCAGCACACGTATCTATATTCCAGACCCGTTCCCCCATGCACGTATGCACGTTGTCCAAAGAAAGTGCAGGTTCTCTGTGATTAGCCAAGGGAAGCCGAGAAGCCTGAGAACACGGAGGCGGGATCTGAACGCGCACGTCCGTTCACGCGGTAACAGGCCGCGGACCGACGCGAATTTGCGATAATAACGAAGGACAACGGACGGATAGAATCGCGGGAAACCATAATCGGATCATTGCCAGCCGTGACTCGTCGCAATCGCTCTCCTCCACCGTCCACCAGGGAATCCTGGTCGATGCGTCACACGATGCTCGCGAAACGAAACGCGTTTCCCTATATTTCGGTCTAGAGATGGACTATTCCTTAGCCGAGGTAGCAAGAAATTCCCATAGAACGCGCCACGGGGAAGCGAGGGGGATGAGTCATCGTTTTTCTTGTTCGCAAGACGAGAAAAAGATGCCGACGAGACGAGATGGACCAGATCTCGAACACGTTAACGCATTGCGATCCGTGTCACCTTGATTCACACAGATGAATTCGTTCCTCTTTTGTTCCACCACTTCCTTCTTCCCCTTCTATATAGGTCCCATCATATCCACTTCCTTTCTTCTGCTATGCTCGTGTAACGGGCCCCTCTTTCTTCGACATCGATCTCGTTCGTTTCGATCCTGCCGTTGTTTCTTCGATGATTCGACGATACGACGAATGGGAGAGGATATTGGATTAGGGGATCAGAAGGTTCTCAGGTTATCTTGAGAAGATTTCGTATCTTGAGAAGTTGAAGATGATAAGTATTATGGGACAATCTTAACGTGGGATTGCACTTGATACAGGAACGATCTCAAGGATTGTCTGATCTTGATGATGTACACTTTTTCGAGTATAAATTATTTATTATTTGATAAATTTGATATTAATAAATGAGGTTTGAATTTTGTCGATATTTAACGTAAAGGTATGTTAATAAATAAAATCATATTATATACAAAGCATGATATAATACGATTTGTAATGTTTGAAGCAAATTTCCTATTTAAACTTTATTCCTTTACGAGACGAAACAGAGCTAAAAAGTAAGTTTCGTATAAATTTACGGTACCACGAATTAATTTAATTAACATTCATCATGTTGATGACTACGTATTAACGTATTCTTATTAGATCAGTTTACTAGGTTAGTGAGAAGAATATAAGGTTGAATCTCGATCGAAGAAAAATTCGTGGAATTCAACGTGTATCTCTAATGAAAGTTCCAGTTCATTTAAGATCGATAGGAAAAAGTGACTCCGGAAAGTCAGTTTTTCCCTCCATTTGCTCTGGACTGGTTATCTTCCTATAAACACACGTTCGAGGGATCACTATGATAGAGGTGGTAATGAGGCAGTCGGAACCGGTGTAATTTCTGTTATCGAGATAAACGCGCGTGCACGTTAACTCCTTCTAATGGCAGGGATGGGGTTCCTTTCAGGACTGTTAATTGCGAAGCTGCGGCTTCTCGCGGAAATCGACAGCTTCCCACGAACGAGAGGCCTCGATTAAAAATGTGACGCGTCAAGCTAATCCCTCCTGAGCAAATTGTTTCGATAATACCATTCAAATTTATTAGAGAGAAATTCGTAGATACAACTATTTTAAAGATACACGACAGAAATATGTAAAAAAATATAAAGAATTGTTTTCACGTCCTAAAATTATTTTTGTATCGAAATTTCCATCGGATCATTCGTGCGTGTTAAATTATTTGTTCAATATTCAATTTATTTGTTTATTTCTTACTCGAGTAATTGAGAAATTTCACGATTTTCCGTGTTGCCGGGATAAGTGGAACGTATCCGAAGAAAATTATTTTCTTATCGATCCCTTAAGGCATGAATAGTGAAAAAAATATTTGCCAATTAGAAATCGCGAGCAACACGATTGCCTGAGAAACAGGGACGGAAGATGGCCGGAAGGGAAGGTGTTGGAAACAAACGGGTCTCGTTGAACTATTTTGTTAAAAGGTTTTATTGTTTGCATTGCGCGAGCGTATCAATCCGTTCGCCACGCGTAATTATTATTTGCTCGCTGGCGGCACGGTTAAACGGAACGGAAGGTGTTAAGCGTGGGATGGCCGACTCGAGAATACGGAGGAGGAGGAGGATGGTCGTTAATCACGCGTAATCGCAGAGACCACATGCGAGCGTGGGTGGAGGATCGCGAGTATGTTAATCGTTAAATGCCAATGTTACGATTTCGCGTGAGATTATCGATCGACAGCCTAGCTTGTCTCGAGATAATCATGTTAATTACTAATCAAAGATATCTGCGAGAACTGGTGAAGATAAATGATTAATTTAGTCTCGAAAGGAATATTTCGACAACGGAAGATATTAGAATAAAATATTACGAAACTTAGTAATTTTCTTTCAATTTAGATACTCTCCAGATTATTTCACAAATCTCTCTAAACAATGTTCCTGTATCTTTAAGATACTCTTTGTACTTTCCGATATATTTTATTTGAAATGATATCAAAGGTTATTCTTCCTTCGTCGAAACCAACGTCCAAACCAAAATCCAGTTCAATATCTCTACCTCTCTTGTCGAAATTGCATAATCGACGATACAAGATTTGAGTTGAGAGAAAAACGGATGGAGATGGAAATTCAATCCGACGTTTCTTCCTCTTCTCACACAAGTGCCGAAACGCAAGATAAATTCGGGGCAAAAGAAAGGAGGAAACGGATGGGAGAATGGTTAGAAGGCGATTCTTGTTTCAATTCCGTTATTCCAAGTCTCTGGAGGTTTTCAGTCGCCTCGGGCACGAAAATCTTGGAGCGGGCGTGGATCCGCGTCGCGAGAGGGAGAGCGTAATTGGCGCGGTTCGTGGTCGCTCGCGATCTGCCACGATCGTCGCCGCGAGGGATTCCACGTCTGTGAGAAACGTAGCCGGAGTCCTCCTCGCTTCGTTCCATCCTCCACCCGCAGTTACATTGCCGTACAGTTACGCATTTGAAAGTCAGATCGCAGCGACAAGCGTTGTGCGTAATTTACGAGCGTTTTCCGTGTGGCGATAATGCCGCTCCAATATCGTTCCACGGCTATGAATTATGACTATTTGTTGATATTCATAAACTTCCGACTTGCTCGCTCCAACGATCGCTACAATAAGAGAATAATATACAGAGTACGTGTATTGATTGTAATTCTCTGTGTGTAGAAATGTGCATGATGCATGTGCGTTTATTTCTTCTTTGATTTCATCCTATTTACCTATTGTCTTATTGTTTTATTCTACAGTATTAATTAATTTTTTTGGGATAAAAATTTGTCGAGCTTTGATTAATTTATACCACGTTTTTGTAAATAAAGATTTTATATCTCTCGTATCTGCGTACGTAATTTTAAAGTTAAAATTCTCTCTCTTCGGTTACTTCATCGTCGTATTCGAGGCGAATGGAGGCAAATGGATACTCAACAATTTATAAAAATTCCACGGTTTCTTGCGAACATCGGGCGTTGGGTCAGGCTGAAAAGCTATACTTAATCGGTTGAACTCGTACAAGAAGTCGACCTCGTCGTGTTTTCCTCGTCACGTTAATGGCCGTTTTACCGTTCTTCGTCAATTCCAAAGTTTCAATCTCGGTTCTCGCCTCACGATTTCGTACGATTAGCGAATGAAAAGTCGTTCGATTTTCGATGTCTCGTCACGCGTGGAATTATCGAGATCTGTGGGAACTCGAGGGACAACGAGCATCCTGTGAATTCGAAGCCGTTCGAGCGAGACACGAATTTCGAGACAGAAGAAGACGAAGACGTTCGAGGCCCCTTTATCCTTGAAGAGGTTGGCACAACTGTCGCGGTTAAACGGAGTAAAATATCACTTTGAGCAATCGTGCGTATCAAGATCGAGGAGATGTCTGGCTGACTCTTTTTGACGAGGGAATTTCTCTCTTTTGTCGGGAGGAGAAATAAAAAAAAAAAATAGGAAAAATTGTCGAGAATGAATTGAAAATAAGTCGGAACCTAAGAATTTTTCAAAGGGTATATCTTGTAAGAAAAATTTCTTCCAACAAATTGGCCTTTTTATCTTAGATATCGCAGCTTAAATTTACTATGACCGATCAATAAGATAAGAAATATAAAAATGAAACGTAAATTTTTTGCTATGGATTAACAGTGGAAAAAAGAGATGAATTCGAAGCTAGACATTGGTATTTCCCCGTGTTTACGCACGACAATTCGTAGCTATGAATTACGTGCTTTCCAGCCGACAGTCATTTGTGGTTAACCAACGATCACTGTCTACAAGACTAGACGAGAGGGATGATGGATTATTTTGTGATTCCCATCCTGGGAGTAAGAACAACGACAAGGGTGCGCTTCGAGAATTCACTTCAAACGTTTATCCTCTTTCATAACGCGTGTCAAAATTGACATCTTCGACAAATATCATCCGAACGTTTCCAAATGTAATAATCTTCAATTTTTTTTCTTTTTTTTTTTTTTTTTATTACATACATTACACGATTCACTCGTGCTCAAAAATTCGACGAATGAGAAGAAACATCATCGAAAAGGAATGTGACCAATGATCGAGGTCAACCGATCATCCCACAGTAGCTTTAATAAATAACGTTAAT